TTTTTTTGTCCACATCCCAATAACAATTTTTTCTTTTAATAAGAGATTGCCAGTGATACCAATCTGTCCTTCTCAGTCCCAGTCCCATGTATTGCATCAGGCCCTTGTGATAAGCTGTCACAATGATGCCAGACTCTCTTTGATCAAAATTATCAAACAATTGATACAGACCAAGGATTGACATAGTCATAAATACCCAACCTTTCCTTTTGTTCTTTGAGTAGAAGGACCAGACCACAATGTGGCAAAAAAACAGCCCTTTTCCTCTCTCTCTCTCCCATTGTTTGTTTCTCTCTTCCATTACTAATTGTTTCTTAGCTCTTTTTTTTCTCCGTACTGATCAATGTAAAGCCACATTACACATTAGTATTAATTTCTTCAAACCCTGCACCCTGTCCCTCAAGAATTGGTTCCACTTCTCTTTTGCTCCCAATCTCTTGTGTTTCTACCGCACTGCGTAACAATCGAGGGCCAGAAATGGCAATTCCCACTGCGCCAGTTGGAGCAGTGAGGAGAATGGACAGCACAGCTATGGTTAAGATCTACAGAGCAGTTAAAAAAAGCTGCTAAGGATAAAGTACACTTGACCAGTTTAAATTCTGTTGTAATGAAGATTTACAAAACTAGACCATGCAATTTTGCCCAATCACTTAGTTTTTCTCTTGACTGTGAAAGAGAAAGTATGAGCCATGGATTAACAATTCTGCCAAAGCAGGTAAAAGGGAGAGAAAAAGCCTCATTATATTGATTGGTATGAAGAGGAAAGATGAAGGCTAGGTTATAATACTGACAACTTCAATTAGGTTCGCTATTGTTACCCAGTACTGGAAAATAACCAAAATTTACCTGAATTCCAAGTTCCTCTTGATGCAATCCTGTGAAACCTCGTTCCCTAGCAATATCCAGTGATACTGAGCCAATGGCAGCCTTGAAAGAAGACATGTCAAGGAATTCTGTCACTGGTGCATGTTAAAGAGCTGGTGTTAAATTTGACTCTAGGAAGAACAAATTACTTTTTACAAATTATTCCCTTAAAGTTTACAATGTACCTGCACAGTTGCTTTTGGAGACCAAGCTATAGCAACAAAAATCTTGTCCCTTATGCTGAGATTGTTTCCAGATACAACAAAGAATGTTACAATCAGTCTAACTATCATTGCTATGGTGAGTAAACCAAATGCTTTTCCTGAAACAAACATCAAACAAGAAGACAACTAAGGAAAATTGTTCACAATTCATGATCAAATGTTAGGGATGTGAGACCAAGAGGTTGCAGAGAGACTGCTTATTAAAGCACACTTCCCATGTAATAAACATTTGAAGAAGACTTTGATTATGTAATCACCTTTGTTTTGATTTAAAGTAGAAAAAGTTCTGTTTTGTTTTCTTGTCAAGTCTTTGCTTTGATTTAAAGTAAAAGAAGTTCTGCTTTGTTTTCTTGTCAAGTTTATGCCCCTATTTTCTAGATACAGTATACTATTGTTCACAGTTTGAATTAATTACTTGGCTAGCATTCCTGATAAACCAGTTTACAATTGTACACCTGAATTATACCTTTATAATGGTACGCCCATTAATTATCAAGGTAGTTGGAGTAAGGAGATCAATGGAGTTAAATCAGACTTTCTTTTTACATAAGATTAAGTTCCAGTTACATAACGTTGCAGTTTCTCTAAGCCCTTAAAGACAGGATCAGATATAAGTTCCAGCCTATTGTATTTAATCTAATTTTCTTTTCAATTTCACTTATTTTGTGATTAGCCTCAGCCAATTTTTTAATCTTGTACATTGCAGTTTCCCCTTTTAATTTCATGCATGTGTATGATATTCAGGTGATAGCATTATATCTTGTTGAACCGACTTGTGTTGTTGATTCCTACACTGTGGTTGACACTCCGAGAACTCCAGTGCACAACAACCCATGTCCACTGCACTGAGTGCATGACACCCCACACTATAAATTCTTACTGAAAAACTGTCATGAGTTACAAACTGTTAATCTTACACTCTTTGCATGGCCACATTGTCAGAGTGCCAATTCCAACTAGTGCTAAAAGGTACCACCATAACAATCACTACAGTGTGGAGTTAAATTACCATGATAAAGGGAAACAAAGACCTACAAAATCAAATCTGATATGCTTCTAGAGAATTTCTCTGACTGATTGTGGAAGAAGCAGAGAAAAGAAGAGCAATGTTGGATGGTGGCATCAGACAGTGAGTATTATTAAAAATTTGGGCATTATTCACAAAATCATGTTCCCAAGACCTACCAATAAGTGTGCTATCCATGTATTCAATACTGACTTCTGCACCAATTAAACCAAACAGCAGAGGCTGAAAGAATTCCCAAACTACAGCCATAGCATCAGCAATTGGAGCCTGGAAAAACAGTTTGCTGTAATAAATGCTTTTTACCTTCCCAAACACACAAATTAATCCTTAACACTTACATACAGACAGGTGAGACTATCATCATTCAGAGCAAGCAATTGGCACAATTGCTAACCCATAGTTACATACATGTATACTTCTTAGTTCTATATTCAAATGAGTGCAACTGTTTATAATATTATTATACCCTGTACACTGCTTGATTCATTTTAATGCCCATTGGCTGATGCAATTTGGTTGAGCCCACAAAATTTTGCACTTAAGACTGAAACTATCTGTACTTTGAGCATGAGAAAGCACCAAACTGTATTAAATAAAATTAAGATTTGTGAGCTAGAGAGAACTGAATTAAACACAATGCTATGTGACAATAAAATTAAGATAACAGACCAGAATGATAGTGTACATGTATGTTGCCATGGTTGATTTCAAATCTAACAAAAGCTTGATGTGTACTGTTCACTAACCTTCTCAATGTCTCCCCAACCATGTGATGCTACTGTAGCTAGAACAAGAACACCAAGGGCTCCTGCTCCTGAAAACTGAGCCATATTACTACCAAACACTGAGAACATGGCACAGCCAAGGAGAATCACAAATCTGTTGTGTGATCTGTCTTGCTGACAGTAGAAAAAAATGGTGCACAGACATGTAAATGACAATAATGCAAATATTTCTTAGGAGCTATTGGTTGGTATAATTTAACACACAACAAGATTGCGCGTGTAACACATATAAACTGCAATTCAATTATCATCTTCTTAAAGTTTGAATAAAGCTATAATTTTCTCTTTGTTAATTGAAAAATGACCCATTGCCTGAAAAATGAAGTTACCGAGTATTATAACCATGATGATAGTTTGAGAATATCACGCTGAATCCAGAATCATGAGCACTCAATAAAAAAACACTTCTGGTATATCAACAGTGGGGAGAAAGCTACAGGTGACCAGTAAAAACTGGCTTCATTTCTCTATCATTTTGTTGGTGTGTAAATACTTTACCTCATATTTGTTTGGTAAGAACCAGCACAAAATTCCAACCAAGCTTCCAAATACAGCACCCATTAACAGCTCAATAGGACCTCTGAAGATGTTGAACACTATGTTTCCTAACCACAGTGTAAAACCACACACATCAGCTACAGAAATATTAATTACCAAAACACACACCATTAGAGGTATGTGTCAATTACTTATTAATGAGGACAAATTCAACAAAGATGACACTTTTCCAAAGCACATGTAGGAACACTATAACTAACCTTCTGAAAATGCAATTCCAAGAAAAACTCCAAACAAACTTATAGCAATGACATCATCAAATGATGATGCAGCCATAACTAAAGTGGGGATTCCTTGTTCAACACCAAAACCTCTCTGCTGCAAAGTGAGAAGCTGGGGAACTACAACAGCTGGTGTGACAGCACCAAGAACAAACCTGAAAAGGAAAGGAATTCATAATCAGCAAACAATAAACCTACATGAAATACCTTAACATGAGCTTAGTGGCCATCCTTCTGAAGTTTATCTAATTTTCTGTTGAGAGACCAGACCCCAAACTAGGTGTGTTGTCATTCAATTGCACCCAAACCATTTCTGCACCAATTGTGTAGTTAACCCTTTAACTTCCAGAGGTGATCAACAAGTAACTTCTCCCTATAATATCTTTACATCATCCAGCAAACAGGTAGTGAGAATACTCACACTTATCAGGTAGAAGTTGTTATCTTGATCAATCACCTAATTCTTGTAACCAAGTAACAAGGGGAGAAAAAGGTAAGATCTTGGGAGTTAAAGGTCTGTGTGATGTAACTGTCTGCACAATGCCTGGAAGATGGAAAGGGCTTTTCCTCTGAAGAGAGGTTCTCCAATTATGATACTTTATTTGAAGAGCACAATTCCCTCTAATATCCAATTGGGTTTTACAAAATTGTACAGGAAATTAATTTAATTTAACTATAGAACACTGAGGAAAAATTAAATTTAAAAGCTTGAGGAAATTTTCTGAGGTAAAATCTCTTATTGTAGTAAAATGTTTAACTCAATCAAACAAACTGCTCCTAGAATAATTTTAAACATTGAAATATGTTTCTCATGGTGTACATATTCTAATTGATCACATGCCCCTTTATCCTGGATAGCACCGCACTCATTTCAATCAATGTTTGATATAAAAAAAAACCTGTTAGTCTTAAAAGCGGCATTTGCAGCGGCTCGTCTAGCGCTTGCGGTCGAATATCGCTGACACTTACCCAAGTTGAAACCCCCAAAGCCAAGGCATGTTTAATAACAGTTTACCGACAACAGCAACCGTGATGGCCTCTCCAATACATGGGCAAAAAGCCAAGCGAATTACAGTGAATTTAAGCCGCCGCAAAGCTCCTGGGTCCAGTTCCAAACCTGATCGCGTAAGAATTACAACAAGCGCCATACTACGCAAAGTTGCTGACCATTTCTTGTCAATATGGCGCGCTACATTGATCCCTGGCACATTACGTAAAATGAATCCAACAACAAGCATCCCTAGTAGCGAAGGCAAGGTGCCTTTAGAGATTTTTCTGGTCATAAAGCCACCTAAAGCGGCAAGCACTATCACGTTGAAAATTCCGAAGATGTTGCCTCCTGGTAGAAGTTCAGCACCAAGAATGGACCATAATACTGCCCAGCTGAGGATGACAATCACAGCACGAGTCAAAGTTTGTCCAAAAAACCCTGAAGGAGGAATAAAAAGTCCAATAAATTGTAAAACTCTGGCTCTTTTGCTAGTTATAGCAGCTTCTTGGTTTCGAATTTGCAAGTTGTTTTCGTCCGCCATGATGAAAATCTGCTTTTAAACATCGTCAAACATGACGTGTTAGACGTTACTTTCAGAAGCTGCTGACTAGCCGCTAACGATGCGAAGAAACAAAGAGTACAAAAGAACAACAAAACAATTACCCGGTACGTCGTTCACGTGATTCTTGAAACCGAAATGGACGCCGTGTCTCGCGGAGTTAAAGTGCAGCTCCCCAATTATTTGAGATCCCTGCCAATCCCTTCCACATTTGGCGGATTTCTAAAGCTTTCTGGCAGTGAATGGGTGCAGCTTGTACCATTGGTGGTGACAACCTCTGTGGCTGTGTATCTCGTAGTTTCAGCTCTGATTCCATCGAAGCCAAAAAAAAAAGAACATGAGTGGGTGAACAAGACAGTAGAGAAGGAGAAGGAAAAAGTTGCTGATACATTTCAAATTGAAGACCTAGGAGACAAAATGGTTTGTTGCCGTTGCTGGAAATCGAAGAAGGTTAGTACTTCTACCAGAACCAGAGGTAAAATGGCAGTGAGGTCTGACGCGAAACCTTTTGATCTCTTGGGCCCCTCCCTTGGACATGGAAATCTGTGGGGGCGGGGGGTAAATCAGCTTTCAAAATTGTTTGACATACCAAATCAAGGCTTCCAATGCAGCGTTTATTCAAGGGCAGTGCTGATTTCAAAATCACATTTTGAAAATCACAGACAAAATTTACATTACTAATCAGTGAATATTATATGTAATATGTTTTTTGCTGGGATGGAATTCTGATTGCGTGGTTTTAAAAAAACTGGGGATGACAAACTTATTTAGTTGTGCTGTACTTATAAGTTACACCAATAATACCCAAATAATAACTGCATTCTTCTGATCGAGGATTTCAGTATTATTTTACAGGAGAGTGTCTTATTAGTAATTTTGCTTCCATCACTGGTGTTCAATGAAGGGTAGCATTTATCAGAGGGTGGCATTTAATCAAGTAATGTTGTAAGTTACTTACAAAAAGTGATTTCTCCTTGAGTATATGAATTTTTGAGATCTTTGCCATGTTCTGTGCAGGCATCCTGATTTTTCTCGATTTGGATTTTCTTACAAAATATATTATCATTTTCATGGTATTTCTCACAGATGTTTTAGGATATTATTATTTTTTCACCATGTTATACTTTTATATCAAAGTCAACAATCAGTTCACTCTGTTTGTCTTCTTATTTTTTCAGTTCCCTTACTGTGATGGTAGCCACAACGAACACAACAAGGAAACTGGAGACAATGTGGGTCCTATTATTGTCAAGAGAGCAAACCCTTCCTCTTGAAAGAGATTCCTCTGTGCCTTGCAAAATGTAATCTTTTGTGCTCAGCCAGCAAGTAGTCTTAAGTAGACAGTCTAAAGTAAATGTCAAATTTTGTAGATATTCCAGTTTTAGTGTGCAGGTTGCATGGATTGATTCCCTTGGCTAGGTGTTGGGTTTTTTCAAAATTTCTCTGTTTGTTCAAAGATCACAGTGAATGTATTTTAGATACGAATATTTTGCATTTGACAAACACTTTCCATTGTGAAGCTACTAATTATTTTTTCAACTGAATAAAACTGATGTAGACACTTCTTTGTTGACTTATTGTTCCATGTGGGGGTTTTTTTAAGAAGTAATATGAACATAGATACAATCTTGTTAGTTAGGCTTTCATTGTTTGTGGGGCAGTGACTACTGTTACTATATGTTATGGATTCTGAATTTATGATTCAATTTGGAATGGGTATCTTTTGAGGCCAGTGATTAGAGATTTTATGAGTTAACTTTTGTAAAGTTTTAGCCACCATGGTATTAATCCAAACTCCAAATTCATCATAACAAAGGGGGTAAGTTTCTAAAGAAACTTTGGTGCTGCATCAGTGGAAGAGTATAACAGGGTAACTTAGTATTATCAACTGAGTTGATAACATAATTGGCCACTGTAAAGAGTTTCAAAGCTGACCTTTGAGTGTTTGCCCTTTGTCAGAGCGATCGGAGGATTTGTGGGTTGTGTGTGTGTTTATATTCAGAAAGTGGAGCTATGCTATTGGTGGGGATATGGTGATGAGAAAACAAGAATAAATTAGAGAAAGATGTCTTTTTCATCTTGTCACAAGTGTGGGACAAAGAAAAAATTCTGAGTCCTCATGAGGAATTAAACCTCAATAATAAATTAGTTGAATGGAAAGTGCCTATTGATGGCATGGGGATCGATGATGCCAGTTTGAAAGATAAATTTTTGTTCTACAGTTTTGTGCCACAAACGGTTGTGCCACGGTTTTCCAAACTGTCCAGATGTGAGGAAAGTTTGCAAACTGCCATATGCTGTTTAGAATGTTTAGGGAGATTAAAGTGTCTAGTGACTGGTTTGGATGCGTCCTTGTCATTTCTCTCTACTTGGCGAAGGAGTTCTTGGAATTGGTCACCTAGTTGTCTTCCTGTTCCACCAATGTATAACATTTTGCAATAAGTGCAAGTTATGCAGTTGATGACAGTAGTGGAGGTACATGTGATCCTAATGATCTCTTGGGTTCCAACATTTTCTCTACATTGTGAATGAAAGGACAAGTTTCACTCTGACAAAGGGCTAATGCTCAAAACGTAATCTTTAAAAATAAAACATTTTTAGTCTCTCCTTTTCCAAAAGAGGTGTCTAGGTAAACTAGGAGCTAAGAGAAGATGATATTTTTGGTAAAAATATTGTTTGGAAGGACATTGGATCAGACTTCATTGAAAATTTTGTCAAGTTTATCCCCACCCAGCTTGTAGAGCATTTTAAGTCTAAGGGAAGACCAGGTGAGCCTCGACAAAGAGTTAAAAAGTGGGCATATAAAGAAACATCAAGCCATCAACTTCTGATAAATATCATGACAAATTTTTTTTAAACTGTGTCAAGTCATTGTATCATCACTAATTGTTTAGCTTCATTAATCTGCCTTGCAAAAACTGATCTATTGACGCACATTTGTGCAAGTATGTCAGTGCACAAGTGGAAACAGTGAGCAACAGGCAATTTAAACATTCTTAAGGACGCAGAAGAACTAATATATTCAAATTAATAGGTCACGTGACAGAAGCGCGTTCTAAGATGGAAGCCGTTTCGCGTGTAATCAAAGTGCAGCTCCCAAACTATCTTCGATCTCTGCCGGTTCCTTCTACTTTCGGCGGATTTTTAAAGCTCTCGGTAAAGGAATGGCGGCAGCTTGCACCGCTTTTACTCACTCTATCGTTGTTCATTTATCTCGTAATTAAGCAGTTTACTCGGCGGTCAGCATCGAAGCCCACTGGGAAGAAGACCCCAGATCAAGACTGGGTCAACAAAACACAGCAAAAGGACAAGGAGAAAGTTGCTGATACAATTCAGATTGAAGATTTAGCAGAGAAGGCAGCTTATCATGCTTTCTGTCGTTGTTGGAAATCGAAAAAGGTAAAATCAGCCAACAGGCTTTAAACAAAACAAGTTGAGTAGGTAAATTAGGCTTCAGAAATTGATTTGACCTTGCAGACTCTTTTGGTATTAATGTGGCATTCGTTAGGGAGATTGCAAGCTTTTTTATATTGATTCGCTGTCATTAACAGCATTTTTCCTTCTGCGGTGGGTTCGGTAACGACACTATATCAAAAAGTTGGAGACAGAGTATTACATAATACCCAGTGTGAATCAACAAAGGGAGGGTGCTATCCACTAGTTAGAGCATTATACTCGCTTCGGACGAATTTTTTTTCTCTCAGTGTGTCATACTCAACGAATCCATGGAGGAGTCTGATGTTTAAGTTACTGAAATGAGAGATTGGAGGTAAACCAATCCCTGAAAAATTGAGCCCCATTTTAAGTTTGTTTCCTACATTTGTGGATCATACAGTATGGTTGTCATAGTAAGGGTTATCTGTTGAGGAACTGTTGTCAGTGGAAGGGATTGACATATTGAAAACCTGATAGAAGATCATCTTAATAGCCCTGGAAGACTGCCAATCAGGTTGTCCAAATGTAACTCACTTTATGTGGCAACAGTTATTCTCAAGACTACCCTTACTCAGATGATCTAAACATACAATCATTAGTTACTCTTTTTTCCCATAATGTTCTGTATTTGTGAGCTGGTCACTCGAGAATAGTACACCAGTAGAGATGCTGACTTACAGTTGGTGATGTGCAACCAAGCTATTATTGAGATTATAGAGTATGTAGTGTGCAAGGTCTGTGTCAGAAATTTTATTTTTCATCTGAGAAATGAATCCAATCTAACTCTCACACTTTTTTCTAATCTTAAGTTCCCAAGGTGTGATGGCTCACATACCAAGCACAACAAAGAAACAGGAGACAATGTGGGACCACTTGTGCTGAAGAGAAAGAAGCCTCAACCTGCTGCAGCAACCACACCTTCATCTTAACAGGCTTCTTGAAATTTTGCACCTACAGTGTACACCCCTGCACATCTATAAACAAACACAAATTTATACTGAGTGTATTTTTGGCACATGTAGATGTTGCACTAAGAACATGATGCACTTTTTGTAGGGGTTGAACCTTTCAGAAACTGTTAAGGTCTAGTGTTTTCAATAAATACTACATCCAAGTGTTATGGTTGAAGAAATGAAAATAATTATTTTGGCAAAGGAAAGGTGTGAAATAGATTGTAGGTCAACTTCAACTCCTCACTTTGTGAAAAAGGTGCATAATAAACACCTTCTTATAACATTCAGTTGAGAACTAAATATGATGCACTGGAATGTTGTAGTTAAGCTATTTGTACTTGCAATTCTTTATTGGTTGGAGTGAGTTTACATGATTCCGATAAGGTTATTTATTTAGGTCACAAGAATGAAGAAAATGGTCACCAATTAAAGAAGATTATGATTGTCAAACAAATTCTCCTTGTCAGCAACATAAGAAATGTGTAGAGGACAGTCTGGAGAATATGCATACTGATGTTAGAGTGTAAAGTGTTACACAAGGAGAATCCTACTATGATTTTAAGGGGTCTGTTATTTGGTGAGGAAAGTGGATAAGTATCTCTTCCTCTTCAATACCTTGACCACTAAACTCACCTGTGTAAATTAATTTATGGAAAAGTAGAAACTACTTTTAATACTTGCCTCCATGAGCCCTGTTCAACACCTGGACCTTGTAGTATTGATACAGCCCTTATGAACTACTTAAGAGAATAGAGAAAGGTGTTTTTCATCATGTTACAAGCATGGGACAAAGGTACAATTCTGAATCCCCACGAGGAGTCAAACCTCAGACCTTTGGATTCTGCACTCTAATGCTCTACCACTTAGCTACAGAGAGTCTATGGTGAGCAAGGCCTGTTATGAGATTCGTATGTGACATGTTAGGATCAGTGATGTGGATAGCATCATGTTAGTAAGTAAAATAAGACAGATGGTGAGTTTTGAGCTCAGTAAAGAAATAGAGTGGGAATGTAAAGGTCCAAGGTTCAATTCTGCATGGGTACTCATAATGTTGTCTTTCTTCCATGGCTTGTGACAAGATGAAAAACATCTTTCTCTGTTTCTTTACTGAGCTCAAAACGTACCATCTCTCTTCTACTATTTACTCAAGAGCATGTGGTGTTCCATCTTGATTGAATGCCGCAGTTGATACTTTTTCCTCCTCAGGGACATAGCAAGAGGATGAGAGGGATCGTTATGGGCCTCACTCTCCTTGGTGAGATGTTTTTGTTTCAAAAACACACAAACAAAATAATTCAGATGGAGAAGAAGTCAAATTGTAATATATACATAGCTTTCATGATGGAATGCACTTCTAACAAAACCTTACTTTAAGAAAAACATAGTGTGGATATCAACATGACAGTCATGTTGTCACCTTGGAAGTGACATACCGGTAGTTTGAATCCCCTTTGTAAAATCTCAGCTATACCCCTAATTCTTGTCACCTTTTTGCTGGATAGTGTGTGGAAATTGTGAAGAGAAATTCATTGTGAATATGGCTTTCATGAGTCAAAGTGATAGGCATTGTGTGGTTAGTGCCATTAAATGTGAAGTAGGGTACAAGAACTGTCATAAGCCTCTCTGAGAGGGAAAAAGAATGGGAAAATGGAAAAAGGAGCAATCAATTTATGTCTACATTCTTTTGGCAACTACATCTATATTTTGCCCATTTTTTTTTAATATCACTTTTAAAAACCACAGTCTATACAATGTTGATGTACATAATTTTCCTCTACCTTGAGCTCTAAATGGTATACAAGTTATACAGTTAGGCATCATGTCCTTTTTCTGTACATTTGATGCTAGCTTCATGAGTGAGCATTGCTTGCTCCATAAGTGGATGCTCTAAGGGGTGAATTGAAGCCTATCTAGCTGTGGACACTTAACACTATCCTTTGATACGACAACACCCCCCTATAGGGCATCTTAAAAGGGAGGCTAAGGCATTAATAACTTTCATTTTCTGCGGCAATTACAAAAATCTACCTATTTGTACATCTGCATATGAACTGAACCATGCAGTTATTCAAGATAGAAAGATTTTCCAACCAGGACACTTCCATGTCAGTAAACTCAATTTGATAAATTCCCACAAAAATGGTTTGTTAATAGAAAATCGTTTATAGGATATAATT